TGTGATCCAGCATGCCTAGATGATAAACAAGTGTCTTGTCTTCTTTATGCAGACGATTTAGAAGTAATATCAGAATCTGCATCTGGCCTGCAAAATGCTTTAAATAAATTAAATATGTTTTGTGATAAATGGAATCTATCTGTTAATATTAATAAAACAAAGATTATAATATTCAATAAAACAGGAAAAATTATTTAGGGTGCATTTATTGCTAGCAAACTGGTTTAAGTTTTGTAACAGTTTTCAAAACTTTTCATTTGTTTTCACAAACCAGTTTAAAATCTGGTTTAAAACTGAAACTGGTTTGTTTGTTTATTGAGACCAAACGAAAACCAGTTCCGGAAACTTATCAAACCACTTTGGGGCGGTTTAGTAGTTTGGTTTCGGAAAAGAATATGGCAGAAAAAGTGCAGACGAACATGACGAAGCAGCTTAGGCTATGTTTACAGGACGTTCCTTCAGTTGAGTGGGTTATGGAACAACATGAAAAAGGTAAACATCAATTTTCATAAATAAAAGTGTTGTTTCTTACTTGTTACTGGTTATGCATTGTGTGTCTGAATGAATAACAGTGCAAAAGCAGACGCTTTTTAAAAAAAACTTTTTTAACCTGTTTTGGGATTTGGCGCTGGAGGTATTTTTTTTCCACCGCTGCATGCAGATCGGGGGACATAGAAATGCCACGCGTCCGTCCATCCGTCCGTCCATCTTTCCATTATCTTGTAAGCGCAACTCCTCCTAAATCAGTAAATGGATTTCAATGAAACTTCACACACAATGGTAGGCACCATATGAATATGTGCGTGATGAAATATTTTGTCAGTTGGACATCTTAAAGGGGGAGTTAATTGGACTTGAGCGAAAAAAGGGGGCATTTCTTAGTAAGGTCCCCTCACAGGTCTAGTTTAAACTGTCAATAAAAGTCTTTTCAATAGTAAAAAAAAATTCTAGGTGTGATAAAAACTGAAGAAGTGAAATATATATTTTTGTAAAGTGTGTTTTTACAAGAAAATATAGGGGTTTTAAGAATAATACTCACTTTTGTCATTGTACTGCACATATCCTGTTCCATTGCAAACTTTACTTTTAACTTTCATGAATGTACATTGATGGCATGGCATTGTGTTCTATGAACATATTTCTTTTACACATATATATATACTGGGACTTTTCAGGAGAATTTGATGTTCCTGTTGGACATTTAAGTGAATTAATTCCAGTTAGATATCACAGATTCATCCCAAAAGGTATTTTGAAGTCTTTGGTATGTGAAGATGAAGAGAGTGCAGCAAAGATGAGAAAGAAGATTGGTGTCGCAGATATTCCAGTAATTACCAGTAAATACACAGAAAATGTTTATGAGCACATCAGAATAAATTTGACAGACTCAGGAAAAGATGCACTGTAGGAAATTCATACATGGATAATAGACATACTAATTGATTGAGCCAATTTTTACCAGATAATTTGTACATGCCCATTAGGTAGGTATTTTCAAGTTAAGTTTAGTGAACCTTGAGAACTTTGAGTATATCCATTCAATACATGGTCAGCTAATGACTAAGTAAATTGTTTAAGCAATCTATTGTGGATTCATTTTTTGTTTTCTTGGCAGCCTTAAGCTATTTTTAACATTTTAGGGTGGTAGTTGTCTTTGACACATTTCCCATTTCCATTCTTATTTATCAAACAATCAATCTGTATTATCAGATCAATCAACTGATTTTGTGACCAGTCAGGGGACTTATTGAAATAAGTGATTTTTAAATCACTTATTTAAGTAGCAAATTAGAAGTTTTGTCACAAATTGTGATTTTGTAGTTTTACCAAAATTTTAAACACATAGGTTTAGATAATATCTTTTCATTAGTAAAACTTAAAAAAACAAACTTTTTGCTTCTTTTATGCAATCATTTAGCTGCAAATTCTATTTTAGTTGAAAAAATGCTATAAAAATGGCTTAAGACAATGAACTGATACTTTCTAAACAGATTTTTCCCAGCAGTGGGAGTATTTTTCCTGTAAAATTCAAGGTTTCATCTTATAGATTATGTAATAAAATTCTACTGTTCGCGATTAAAATTTCACTGTTCGGGGGTGTTGAAATTAGTGGGGGTTATTAAAATAATGATACTTAAAGAAGTGATTTTTTGGAAGGAAATTGAGGTATGATACTTAAACAAGTGATTTTTATGTCATTATCCTAGATTTAGTACAAGGTCATCACCTGACCTGACCCGGTCATCCTATCAACACAGATGTTGGTTCTGATAATTTTAGCAATATAAGTAGTCCCTGGATCATTAGTATTCTATATTTAAAGCTACAATAAAATTAAATCACTTAGTCTAGTGATTAATTTGTACTACTTAAATAGGTGATTATTAAAGAAAGACAACTCTTACTTCCAACCTTTATGGACATAATGTTACTTGAATAAGTGATTTAGAAAATCACTCATTTAAGTAAGTCCCCTGACTGGTGACATTAAACAAAAAAACATAACATCAATGATGCAGGCTAATAACAAGAAAAAGCATGCATAATCAAATAAACATATGTATGTATAGATCTTGATTTTGAGTCCACTAACTCCTTGCATGCAGTTCTAAGAACATTTTAGCTCACCTGGATAAAGGCAAGTGTGAGCTATTGCCATCACTTTATGTCTATCCTTCTGTTAACTTGTAACATTTTCACCTTCTCTGAAACCTCTTGGCTGATTTTAACAAACATTTGCAGGGACGTACAGTGGTATGTCTTCAACAAGTGTTGAATATTTTGTTCCGATTTGATGAAAATATGGCTGTCAGAACCATTCTTTGATTCTGATTGGTCGGTTTTCTAAAATCATTTCTGAAAATCACTACTGGAAAACTTACATTACATTTCTTTTTTCACATTTGGACCTTAGAGCCCTTTGTAGTGACTCAAGTTTTCCAGGTGAATGATATAGGCTAATTATACCCCCGCTTTAAAAAAGTGGGGGTATACTGTTTTGCCTCGGTCTGTCCGTCCGTCCATCCATCCGTCCCATGAATATTTTTCGTTCCATCTTTCTCAGGAACTACATCATAAGGATTTCTGAAATTTGGTTTCAGGTTTTATATAAGTCAGCTATACTGTGTGATGTGTTTTCAGATTCAACAACTTTCTGTTTACCGAACACTTACATCATTTTACACATGGTTTAAATATTCCAAATGTATATTTGGGCGGGGGTATCATCAGTGAGCAGTAGCTCGCAGTTTCACTTGTTGGAGTCTCTAGTATATATATTACATGACATGTAATATATAAACAAAAGGCTCCAATACATTGTATCAACTTTTTATTTCAGGGGAAGGAATGACAATGCAGGATGTTCATGATGAGAATAACAACAATGAAGAAAATGATTTAACAGGTATGGTTTTAAACATCCAAGATATCTCAGCTTCTACTGATGGGAGTGTTGTATTTGGATTGCAGCTTAATCTGATGAATTGTACTGTGTAATTGCTTTGGAGCTGTAAAGTATCTAATACCTTTTGGTTGCATAATTCTTTCCGCTGTTGTTATTGTTTGTGGTTTATGTTTCTGCTGTAAAGTACCTAACACCTTTTTGGTTGCATTTATTCTTTTTGCTTTTGTAGTTGTTTGTAGTTTGTATCTGATGCTTGGTTTGTTTGGGGTGTTTGGTGGTATTTACTGAGGGGATATGCCTTGCTTGCACTGGCTGTTATCCCTTTTCAGTTTGTATCCATTTCCTATGTATGAAAAATAAGTGATACGGGGTATGTACCCATTTCATATTTGTTCATAAATAATGTTCTGACTTCTACCAATATTACAACGATTGAGTATATGGTTTTGTTATTGTGGTTTCTTAGTAACATGAGTATATGGTTTTGTTATTGTGGTTTCTTAGTAACAATGATAGAATCCCTTGAAGCAAATCCTTCAAGACAGCTGAATTATTGTAGGATTGTTAACAGGTGAAGAAATCATCATGGCATGTGTACTTTTTCATATTGTCTTAGATTTTTGATTCAACACATTTTACAATTTTACAGGAGTTATGAAACTTAAATAGGAACATTTTGTGGACTCAATTTCTCTGAGATTGCTAGTTGGATTTTGTTCAATTTTGGTAGCTATGCTAGGCACATACACAGTACCTCATATTTTGTATATTATATTTCAGAGCCTGACAGTGACTTAGATAAACATGATATAGCAGAAGTAGCTGGTTCATCAAAAATTCCAATATCTAAATCTGCAATGGATAAAACAAATTCCTGTAGTTCAATTAAGACTTGGAAACCTCAAGAAGTAAAGAAGCTTATTGATATTGCAGAGGAAATCAATAAAGATGGAAGTACTTTTACTTTCCTGCAATGTGAACAAAAGTGGAAAAACTTAACAAAAATATTTGTGACACTATTGATCACAACCAAAAAAGTGGGAATGATGTGAAAAAGTGCCCCTATTTTAGTGAAATGGAAGAAGCTTATGGGTACAAAGCAAATGTTAAACCTATCTTCACAATGTGCTCATCAATGCCATCAGCAGAATCTGCGACATGTGAGGATAGTGATGTAGAGTCTTTAAATGAAAGTAGTTTGGCAGAAGAGGGTAAAAGAAAGAAGAAGGCAAGTGATTCAGATCAAACAAATAACCAGGGAAAGAAAGTAAAAAAAAGTAATGAAGTTTTGATGTTTTTGGAAACCTTGAACAAGGAGTTTAAAGAAGAACAGAAGGGGTTGCTATCTGAAATAAAGGAACAGCATAAGGCAAAAATGGAGAAAGAAGACCAAAAAATTCAGCTTATGTCACAGATAATTGAACATATGAAAAAATAGATTGTACTACAATAATTGGATAGATTTAGTTTTTTGTTTTCTCTTTGACTTTGTTATGTTTTTCTGAGTTGCAGTATTGTCAGAGTGACATATTAGTATTGCATTCGACTTAATTTTATTGTTAAAAATACAAATTTCATTATATGAAACTGTTTCATTGTTGAACACATAATGTATTAAAAAAAATATCAACTTTATATATAAATGTTTTCCATCCAAGGAACAAAAAATAAGCAGGGGCCTAGAACATGTAGAACTCCATGGTCCCTAAAATTTGGCCTGAAAATTAGCATTGAGTTATTACTGTACAGTGTATTGCTAGTCATGCTAGTAGCAATACACTGATAACCATTCTTTATGTGCCTGTCCCAAGTCAGAAGCCTGTAGTTCAGTTGTTGTTGTTTGTTCATGTCGATAATTTTTTTTTTCGTATTTTGTTTTGTAAGGCTGTTAGTTTTCTCAATTGAATTTTTTCATATTTTTCATGTCTGGGCCTTTTATAGCCCAGTAAATGGTATGTGTTTATCTCATTGTTCAAGACCAAACGGTTGCCTTAAATTGCTTACATGCACTTTATTTGAACTCAGTGGATAGTTGTTTCATTGACAATCATACCACATCTTCTTATTTTTATAAAGTATTGAGTTTCTAACGCAGCATATAAACATGGCAACAATCAAATAGCAGTACCTAGATAACATGGATAATACACAGTGTCATATTATGGACCAAAACACGAAAATGAACTGAGTCATTCATGTGTGAAAGGCAGGCAATACAAAATAAAACAATACACTAGTTAATAATTGGAAATCTAAATTTTGCTAAAGTTTACAGTTAAAAAACAGATTAATAATCTAATTACACATTTTCTGTTAACATGGTTAATGGAGATAAATATGACCAATATCTTTTTATCCCAGCATATCAACAATTGACTGACGTTTATGTTGTACGGTAGGTTTTCTCCTTAAAAAATCTTGGAAATCATTGATCTCTTCATTGGCATTTAGTCCTTCTTCAATGTATTCATCAAATTCATCAAAATTGGCTAAACAAACTTCATGTAATGTGCAACAGCTGAGCACAAATTTGACCACTTCAGGCATATCTTTCATGTCAATGTATATTTTAAAAACGCCTGAATCGACCTTTCAATGCACTAAAGGCTCTTTCGATACACATCCGACTTGAACTATGGATGTAGTTATAATGTTTTTGTTCAGCCGGAAGGTTGCCAAAGTCTTTGAAAGGCATCATTAGCCACTGACTCAAAGCATATGCAGCATCTCCAATTAGATGGATATTTCCTGGGAACATTCCCTCTTTGTTATCAGATGCACTTGTAAACAGAGGCGAGTTTTTAAGAACTCGAGAGTTATGCACAGAACCTGGCCACCCACAATATAAATCTAGAAAATGTAAGTTGTTGTCACATACTGCTTGTAATATTATAGAAGGAAACTTTTTTCTGTTGTAGTATTGTTCACCATCCACTTTAGGAGTTTTGATGGGGATATGTGATCCACCAATCGCGCCTAAAACACCAGGGAAACCTTTGTGTTGAAAAAACATGTCAACTGTCTCTTGCACTTTCATTCCAGAAGGCCATTTAACTAATGCAGGAAGCAAATCCGAACAAATAATTGAAGATGTTCGATGTATAATAGTATGAACGGTTGCTTCACATACACCAAAGCTATCAGCTAACTCAGTCAAAATCTGTTGACATGATGCACATCTTATGAAAATCAATAGCTGCTTTCCTATAGAAACTTTCATGATGCCACCCTTGAGACCCACAGCCAACTGAGGAGATACGCTTAGAACTAGTGCATCAAATGTTGATCTGCTCATTCTAAAACAATTCCTAAAGTCATCAGGTGTGTATTGGGGGATTACATTTTCAACATAATTTTTCACCCTGGCGATTTGTTTAGCTGCCAAGCATGATACAACTGAGAAGACTAGCTTTCTTTTTGAGACACTCTTGTGAATCTGATAAAGCCTATCAATGCTTTCATCATCTGTTTGTGTTATCAAGTCCTGTAGTAAAAGATATACTTCAGCCATTTTTGTTATGGTTTCAACATTGTTCAAGGAAACCACCCATTTGTTTAAATGTGCCTGAACTGGGTTTATTTTTCAAACTAGTTCGATAAAACCTAAACTAGTTTTGGAAACCAGTTCAAAACCTAAATCTAAAACCAAAACCAGTTTTATTTGCAATAAATGCACCCTTAAAAACACAATTTCTATTATAATGGAAAACTACTAGAGCTGACTGATGAATACAAGTATCTAGGTATAATTTTTAAACCATCTGGATCTTTTACTACAGCAATTGATCAGTTATCTAAAAAGGCTAGCAAAGCTATTTTTTGTATTAGAAAATTATTATATTTTGAAAAGATGAATTTACTACCACATTTAAAGCTTTTTGATTCATGTGTTAAACCTATTTTATTATATAGCAGTGAAGTTTGAGCTACTGTTAGTTTAGTGAAACAAAATACTACCATTGAGTCAAACTATGCAAACTTTAGTCCAAATAAGATTCAAATCAAATTTGCTAAATTTTTATTGGGTGTAAATGAAGGTGCTGTAAATAATGCTGTACTTGCTGAATTAGGTTTATTCCCACTTTCATTGTCAGCCCTTAAAAATGCAATTAATTTCTGGATTCATATCATTAATATGAATAGCGAGAGTATGGTAAAGAAAGCATACAGTGAAAACTTTAACATGTTTAATGGTTTTTGTAGTAAAATAAAAGTGTTATTAGGTAAACTTGGTTTTCAGCATGTTTGGGAAAATCAAAATACTATGTCAAAGACAAAATTACTTTTTTCAGTTCAAAAGAAATTAGAGGAGGAATTCATAAAATCCTGGAAACAAGCTCTTTTTTGTGACTCTAAAAAAGATAGTCATGGTAATAAACTAAGAACGTATCGCAAAGTTAAAAATAATTATGAATTAGAAAAATATCTCCTATTGGACCTTAACAAAAATGTTATTTCTAAAATGGTAAAAATTAGAATTAGTAATAGCAAGTTGGTAGATATACTAGAACGCCTTTAGAACAAAGAATTTGTCCACTTTGCAAGGATGGAATTGAAGATGAATCCCATTTTCTTATTAAATGTAAAGCGTTAGAATTTAATAGAAATATACTCTTTTGTAATTTAAGTGACATAGTTCCATCTTTTGTTAATATGTCTGAACAAGATAAATTTAGTTTGATTTTGAAAAGTAATGATACTGACATTTGTACTGTATGTGTAGCTGGAATAAGCGATATGTATGATTCGAACATTCATTTAAAGCAAACATAATGTTGTTAAGAACTGTTGTAGTATTAAAGCTTATTGTAATAGCTTGAAGTGATTATATAGTATGAATAACACCTCCACGCAATGTAGATATAAAATATGTGTCTCTTATCATTGAGAAAATATATCTCTGTATATTTGTTTTTTGTTTATTTTTGCCTGTTTTTATACGACCGCAAAAAAATTTTGAGGTCGTATATTGGTATGACGTTGGCGTCGTCGTCGGCGGCGTCTTAGTCCGAATACACAATGGTTTTCGCACTCTAACTTTAGTTTAAGTGAATGGATCTCTATGAAATTTTACCATAAGGTTCAATACCACAATAGGAAGGTGGGGATTGATTTTGGGGGTTATGGTACCAACAGTTAAGGAATTAGGGGCCAAAAAGGGGCCGAAAATAAGCATTTTTGTAACTTCCAGACATAACTTGTGTGTTAGCATATGGATCTCTTTGACATTGTACCACAAGATTCCATATCACAAAGGGTCAATGCTGGGATTGATTTTGGGGTTAATTGCCTCAAAATTTTAGGAATAAGGGGCCAAAAGGGGGCAAAAAACAAGCATTTTTCTAGTTTCATGACAATAACTTGTGTGTAAGTGTATGGATCTTTCTGAAATTTTACTACAAGGTTCCATTTCACAAAGGGAAAGCTGGAATTGAGTGTTGTGGTAATTGCCCAAAATGTTTAGTAATAAGGGGCCTAAAAAGGGGTTTAAAATAAGCATTTTTTAGTTTCTAGACAATAACTTGTGTTCAAGTGTATGGATCTCTCTAAAATTGTATTACAAGGTACCATACCACAAAGGCAAGGCTGTTATTGAGCTTGGTTTGGGGGGAAAGGGGGGTGGGGGTGATGAATCATAAGGGGGGCGGGGGTCAAAAAAGGGGTAATTTTTTTTTTTCCTTTTTTTTTTGTTTAAAATTTACATTTTAAGTTAGTTATTTTTTATCACGAAGAGAAAGTAGGAATTGAGTTTTGGGGTTAATTGCTCAAACATTTATGAATAAGGGGCCAAATATTGGTCAAAAATAAGGATTTTTTTAGTTTGTGTTCAAGTGTATGGATCTCTGTGAAATTGTATTGCAATGTACCATACCACAAATTGAAGGTTGTGATTGAGGTGGGGGATGATGAATCAAAAGGGGGTTGAAAAAATGTGTGGGAGGTAGGATTTTTTTTTTTCCTTTTTTTTTTCTTTAAAATTTTCCATTTAAAGATGGTTGTTTCAGATTTATATATGAAAGAAAATAATAATGATACGGTTATATATCATGAGGAATTGAAATTTAAAATTATGTATATTGGAAATTTAAGTTACATTGGAAAGTAATAATTGGCTTTGGGGGGGGGGGGGGGGGGGGGGGGGGGTGGTGGTTATGGCTCTAATGTTTAAGGAATAAGGGGAAAAAAGGTTAAAAAACAAGGGTTTCCATTTTAATAGACAAATAATTGAGTAAAGAACATTATTTAAAAGCAGTGTAAGGTTGGTAATTCAAACTCATTTAAATATCTCATCTACACTGCTTTTAAATTATGTAAATTGGAAATTTGCCAATAACTTTATTGTTAATAAATGCATTGGAAATTTGCCAACAATTTTAGTGTAATAAACTTCATTGGAAATTTGCCAATATAAAACTTTGCTGATGAAGGTTTTTTGTTTACCTTTAGCCTTGACTGTGAAGTCATTTTCTATTTTTATAGCCTTATGATGTAGTTGAATTATTTAATACTTTTATGATGTGTTTAAATGGGATTTTATCATGTTTATGGTTGCAAATTTATTGTTTTAGTATAATAAACTCCATTTAAAATTTGCCAATAAAAAAAATTTTTGTTTATTTTTTAGCTATGATTATGATGTCATTTTCTATTTTACTTTTATGGTTGCAAAGAAATTTTTATTTTTAGATATTACTGTTAAATGATGCTGATTAAGGTTTTTGCTATGTTTAGCCATGACTATGATGTCATTTTCTATTTTAATATCTGTTATGATGTATTTAAATGGGCTTTTATGGTTACAAAGGAATTTTATTTTTAGATATTACTATAAAATGTTGCTGATGCTGATTAAGGATTTTGTTTATTTTTAGCCATGACTATGATGTCATTTTCTATTTTAATACCTTTATGATGTAATTTCCATTTTTAGATATTACTGTTAAATGATGCTGATTAAGGGTTTTTAGCTATGTTTAGCCATGACTATGATGTCATTTTCTATTTTAATATCTTTATGATGTATTTAAATGGGCTTTTATGGTTACAAAGGAATTTTATTTTTAGATATTACTTTAAATGTTGCTGATTAAGGATTTTTGTTTATTTTTAGCCATGACTATGATGTCACTTTCTATTTTAATACCTTTATGATGTATTTAAATGGGCTCCCATGTATTTAGATTTTTGATTGTTTATACATGTTACCAAATTGGTCCACATTGAACAAAAACGGTCCAAATTTCAACTTTATTACATTACATCAAACATTGAATTCTACATATTCTTTGATGTATTGAAGTTAACAAACAATTTAGTTTATGGATATTCCACCATAATAGGTAAATTAAATTTTTTCCAGTTCTTACACCACATTCATCCTGTGTCAGAAACCTATGCTGTGTCAAATATTTAATGACAATCCAAAGTCATAGCTGTATCAAGCTTGAATTTTGTGTCCATACTTGCCCCAACTGTTCAGGGTTCGACCTCTGCGGTCGTATCAAGCTGCGCCCCAGCGAAGCATTTTATTGTATTTGTATTTTGTAAATGTCAGCTGGTATCATTCCTGTATTGGAATTTACACCAATAAAATTATTTGATTTGATTTGTTACCAGTTACCTTCACCTGCCATAAATTTTTATTCAATAACAGAAACTTTCCGTAGAAACGACATACTGCTGACATCTTCATTTTTTTTTTTAATTAGTGTGATTCTGTGAAGGTTCATCATAATCTTTTGGCTAAGGGAGATACCATTTGATATTTATGGGGGGGGGGGGAGGCTAGAATGAAAAATTTTGTCCTGCACTTTTTTTTAGTTGTAATCTCTGTCCTGCCTTAACTGCATGCATGCAAGACTAACATTATGCTCATCACTAGCTTGCAGCAAGCATGCTGCAAACAAAACTTTAATTTTTGATTGTAAGATGCTTGCGGCAAGCTATATGAAATGATTATGTAATTGTCTACATGCATGCACAAGCAAATTGCAAGCAAGTCAATGATTGCTGGAACGTAGTACAGGCATTACAAAACATATGTTGACTGATATGCACTTAGATCAAACTTTAGTGATGTCATCAGTGTTTGGGCAGCCATATTTGATCATGTGTGGGAAAGATAGCAGGCAGAAGGGGAAGCTCTTTTTAGTTTCACTTGAAAATAAAGGTATGCTTACATTGAAAAAAACTCAAGAGTTCTTAGACAGTAATGCTCTACATCAAATGGATATATTTTAGATTCTTTTACTGTGAGAAAAAAGGAATAATTGCAAAAAGATCGGTTTTACAATGCTGATCCTGCCAAATCTATCAACATGGGATTGATCTCTGTATTAAAGTAAACCCTCACTTAATATAGTCTTCATTAAACAGCCTTAATATGAGACTTTAATTATATTTGGAATATGTAACAAAGTAACAATTACATCATTACATCATTTGTTTGTGTCCCATACTTGTCAAATAATTCTTTTTTCTACAAAATTAAGGCTAGCAGCTTATACTTGTATTTCTTATCTTGAAGTACCTATAGGGTGTAATTTCTGCTTGCATATAATCCAAACATTGTATGATGTATATGAATATAGAAATGGGGCAAAGGAGAAGGTCCATTAAGGGCTAATTTTTGCCTAAAATTTGAAATACATTACCTGAAGTTAAATTTTACCTGTAAATCAATTAACAAGCATAATTATATGGCTTCACTTGCCAGCTTGGGTGTCAAACATACTGGTAATCAACGATTTTTACCTCAGGCTAACTGCCGTTGTGTAATAAAAACTTTGTGTATTTAAAAATAATTGAAATGAATTTTGGGTTACTTCCCTTGATTTATCTTATTTTAAGTTACTTTCCTTTAGTAATGTAAATTGTTAAAAGAATATAAATAAAATATAAATTGAACAAATTATCATAAAAGGATGGTAATTAAATGATTTGAAATGTCTTAAGACAATTTAAAAAATAATAATTTGAAAACTATTTGAGGGTTCTATACTTCTTTTTAAGGCTTAAATTAAAATTTATATCGTAAGTATGACCTACTTGTTCAACTTTCAACCCGACCGTGCGAGGGCTGAACATCCACTCAAGGTCGTTAAACACTTCCAGTAATGTTCAACTTGTGTATGGTTATGTTTCTAGCATGAAAGAATGTTCTATATGCAGTGATTGTTCTATGGAATAAAGATTAAAGATGAAAAATATATAAATTAAAGAATGTTACAAAAAAAAGAAGAATGTTAGATTGAATAAAGATAAAGAAAAGTTACAAGTACAAGGGTACTAAAAACATTACATTCGGATGGAAAGTTGAAGAAAAAAACATTTTAAAAGACAATTTCTACATCACACAGTTACATTTACGACTCAATTTATGTCGATAAAAAACCTCCTGATCTCAGTCCTAATCTCCTGACCAAAATTTCCCAATCTCCTGATCTGAGTTTCACAGTCCATCACATGTATGTAAGTGGCTGCAATCATGTTCAGTCTCAACCTTTATACATGTTATTTATTATCGTCAAATACAACATATATTCAAATATTAAGACTGAACACAAGTGCGGCAACTTCCATTTTAGACAAAAACCTTCTAAAAATTAGCACAATGCTAAAATTCAGTAATTTTGTGTGAAATAATGATGCTAGTACCTGATGCATGTGCATTTAATTGTCCAAAAACAGCCCATATTTATGTAACAAAAGTATTCTACTTTCCAATTAATAGCTAAAGTTTACATTTTTAACAAATTTGTAAAAATGCTATATTTTAGGCCTGCCAAAACTCCTTTCTTGATAAAAAAATAATGGTTCATTAGTTAATGGGTCACTCATGACACTGACCTTTGACCTTAAACACAACTTTTCAATAACTCAAAAGTAAAATAAAAAATTGCAGAATCTGAAGAATTGAAAATGTTCTACATAATAAAACAAATCAAAGGAAACATAGAATTAGTCCTCATGGATCATCCCCACCCCCTGCCATTTGTAAAATTGTACTAATATCTTGTAAATGGTTGAGATCCCCATCCTTAAATTATACATATATATTCCTGCTTGTCATGTCAATATGTAATGAATGATATATATTGGCCAAATGAATAATATAGGTAGCTCCAAGGGGTTTATACTTATTGGGATTTTGTTTAGGATACTTTCCTAACAGCATCCTGCTACAATCATTTCTTGTTCTGCAATAATCCTGTAATCATAGCTAGATCATTCTGCAATCGAACCGGCATCATCCTGCATTCGAACCACGATCATCCTGCAATCAAATAAGATTGCAGTTGCTTGCGGTTTGATTACACATGCTTGCACAACCATTCTGTGCAGTTCCAATTACTGTCAAAAGACTAGCATACATGCCGCATGCTTGCAATTAATGCTTGCGGTTTTGGTTTGGGATAGGACATATAGAACAAATGGGAACAGATGAAAAATGTAATATAGGATATAGATTTGAAATTACAGAGCTCTTTCATGTACACCACAGTCATTATGGAATTTTCCATTACCACTCTCTGTAGTGTGCACAATTGCACAGCCAACTCATATTACCATAAATTTACAATAAAATAGGGTCCCTACTTAAATTTTAAGCTGCACATATTTATTAAACAATGAATTTATTTAAATAATGTTTAAAAAAAAAGTTAAATATAACAAAAACAACATCCAAACTCTATGCAATTGCCCGCAGTGGGCACATAGAAAATGCAGGTTTCACACTGACTAGTGTATGTAGTTCACATTACTTGTATATGGGTATTATTGATGCATCAGCATATGCGCATCAATATTTCCAGTCAGGTATGCCTGAATTCAATACAAAACAGAAATATGGTCACTCTTGGTTCTTCAGAGAAGCCATAAAATCCTTGCAAAAGTGGGGCATCCATTTGGTTGTGTGGGATTTATTAATTAGCATTTTGATATCAAATGTTCTATTTTCAGATTCAAAAGGACAAATAAAGAATCAGTAGAAGTAGATGTGGAAAAGGCTACAGTAACAGTTTTTGATGATGACACTGAGACAAAGTTTATATTATCTGATGTTGAATTGTGTCCCTTATCTTGCAGAGGATTAAAGTTATCTCCCTTTAGCGAACTGAATTTTACAATGCAGATTAATTCTTCCAGTTGGAAGACAATTAAACCACACAAGTTTGAATCTAAACAATCATGCCAGGGAGAAATGGTAGACAAAATACAACTTTATCAAGATAAATGCTTTTGTGCAAAATGTGACCAGAAAATTTTAAGGAATCACTGGTTAGTGACATTTTCATTCTCATTTGTGCATTTGAAAATAACAACACTTCAAAAGACTTCTAAAGTGATTATGATTGGAAAGACAAACATGACAAATGCATGAGGGATCATAAGTCTTGTTTTTGACTTCCAAAGTTGAAAACTTTAATTTTTTGGCATTCATTGCAATTATGAAGTAAATTTATATACAAAAGATATTCGATTGAAATAGACATTAAAGTCAGGGTTTGACATAAACCTTTTTGACAATTTGCCCATAGGGCAAATGACCATGATATATTACTTGTCTGAAAGGGAAAACCACTATTCCCAATTTTGTTCTTGCTTAAGAAATTTTAAACTGGCATTGATGGACATTAAATCAGGTAAATGCAATTCAAAAAGGAAAGAAATGTAGTTGATTGCCCAAAGTGTTGTACATAGCCACTTGAGCCGTACCAGTTCACCAGTGACCTAGGAGCAAACAAAAAGAAGAAAATTTGGTTTAAGTCATATCATAATAGTTTTGTAGATTTCTGTTTGTTGTCTAATTTGCTATAGCTAATATGTCTGTCCTTTAAAGTATTTGAAAATAATCCAATACATATTTAGTCTATTTGAGCAGTGCTCACAGTATTTCTAGTTGATCTTATAAATTCATTTAAAGCATAAAGAAGAGCTAAAAGGGCGTTTGGTGTATCATGCGTTCATGGCTCAGCTCTTTATTTTAATCTGTTTGCAATCTTGTTCTACAACAGTATTCATTCAATAACTATATTTTTATATTGACCCATTTCTCACCAAAAATAAATTTTGAGGCAAGCTTTGGTAATGGCTTATTTTGTGAAAAATCACCATAATACTTGTAGTATAACCGAGGACAGTCCTTTGCTGATTCCTGACCTGGTTACTCATCTTGCTAGGTTTGGGAAACTGGCTGATATCTTTCTTTAACCTCGTGCCTACATGGCTTATGCAACATAGATTCAAAGTTCTCTATAAAAGTGTTCATTATCTCAGGATTCAATATTCAAAATAACAACAATCACATAAGTTCATGACTACATGAGATATAATATAACAGCATGTCTGATATCAATTCAGTAACTAACTGTCCTTAACTTTATGGTCAACTAATATATATTGTGTTTTTCATTATTCAACTATTTATAACATTAATACTCAATATCTGTACTTTACATTATAATGCTTATTTATCTATTTTCCCAAATATCAAGTCTTTGTGACATAACCTAATATTATCTTATAAAGTAAGAAATCCCTTATATGTATATAACACTTCTCTAATCCTTAATTCTCTATGTATATGTAAGAGAATGATAATCCCTTTCTTCATGATTAAGTACGAGCGTTAGCGAGTACTTATCATTAAGAAAGGGAATATCATTCTCTTACAAACTTAGAATATTGAAAAGTTACAGCTCAAGGCTATAATAATTCGTTTCATTGTCAGTGCAATGTTTATAACTAATGCTTGACTTCCTCTTTAGGCATTTCATTTATGGCTAGGTCTTGGCAATGGTTATTTAGGGACTTTCCTATAACATGTACAATATGGAGATATTTTAATAAATTGTGTTTTAAACATTAGATGACACGACAAATACGATGAAATGGAAGGTATTGCATAAGTTACCTTATTGTGAGTATGAATGTGAATCATGTAACCTTTCAGTAAGAAAGTATTTTTGTTTATTTACAGTTCATATCAATAAATTTTAAATTTGAGTTACAACATAATTTTATTCCACAGCCAATATTTGATTCCAGCTCTTTACATTAAATACGATATCATTAAGTGAGGTAATTATCTAAAATTTGAATTTTTAAATGAAATACCTTTTTTTTATGAAAATCTAAGGTTAAGGTAACCTCCTGTTTCATTGTATCGGAATTGTATTTGAAAATACCTTTTTTACCAACCACAGATCCAGTAGTCTGAAATTTTGTTAGCTTAGTAGTTAAAGATTTGAGTTATATTTGATTTAGAGTTTTTATGGCCCCGCGGTAGCGGTGGGGGCATTAAGTTTTACCCTTGTCCGTCTGTACGTACGTCCGTACGTCCCAAAATTGGTTTCCGTTCTCTAACTTGAGTTTGCCTCAACCAAATGTTATGAAACTTATACACAATGCTTATTACCACAAAATACAGATCAAGTTTGAATTTTGGTGGTGTCACTTTAACCGTTCTAGAGTTATGCCCCTTTATAAATGGAAAAATTGCAAAAATTTTAGTTTCTGTTCTCTAACTTAAGTTTGTATCTACCAAATGTTATGAAACTTATACACAATGCTTATTAACACAAAACACAGATCAAGTTTGAATTTTGGTGGCGTCGTTTTAACTGTTCTAGAGTTATGCCCCTTTATAAATGGACAAATCGCAAAATTTTTAGTTTCCGTTCTCTAACTTAGGTTTGCCGAGACCAAATGTTATGAAACTTATACACAATGCTTATTACCACAAAACACAAATCAAGTTTGAATTTTTGTTGGCGTCACTTTAACCGTTCTAGAGTTATGCCCATTTATAAATGGAAAAATTGCAAAATTTTTATTTTCTTCTAAATATCAAGAAATATTTTTTTTTTTTTTTTTTTTTTTTTTTTTTTTATTTAAATTGGAGTTATCTTTCTTTGTCCATGAGGGGCCTCGGTGGCCTAGTGGTCTAAGTAGTTACTACTGTAATCACTAGCCAGTCAACACTGAGGTTGTGAGTTCGAACCCGGCTCGTGCGGGTGCACTCGACTCCAATCTTAATTGACTAGGATTGTCAGTTTTCCTATAGAAGGTCGGTGGTTTTCTCCGGGCACTCCGGCTTCTTCCACCAATAAAAACTGGCCGCCACGAAATAGCCCAAAAGCGGTGCTTAAAAGTGGCGTTAAAACACCAAATATATATCATATCCTTTGTCCATGATTGAATCAACTACAATCAATGCTTTATACAATGCAATGTTTAATTTTGACTTCCACTGATAAAACACAGATCAAGTTGAATTTGGGTAGTGTCACTTTAACCATTATTGAGTTATGCCCCTTTATAAATCGAAAGATTGCAAAATTTTTAGTTTCCATTCTGTAACTTAAGTTTGCCCCAACCAAACATTATGAAACCTAAGATCAAGTACAAATTTTTTGTTTCAGTTTTCTAACTTTAGTTTGCCTCAACCAAATGTTATGAAACTTATACACAATGCTTATTACTACATAATACAGATTAAGTACGAAATTTGGTGGCGACACTTTTACCATTCTTGAGTTATGTCCCTTTATAAACATAAAAATTTCTGTTCTCTAACTTTAGTTTGTCTCAACTAAATGTTATAAAACTTATACACAACTGTTCTAGAGTTATGTGTGTTTACAAATAGAAAAATTGCTGAATTTTTAGTTTCTGTTCTCTACTTAAGTTAGCCTCAACCAAATGTTATAAAACTTATACACAACCGTTCTAGAGTTATAAATGCGTGTTTACAAATAGAAAAATTGCTGAATTTTTAGTTTCTGTTCTCTACTTAAGTTAGCCTCAACCAAATGTTATGAGACTTACACACAATGCTTATTACCACAAAACTCAGATCAAGTTCAAATTTGGGTAGCGTCACTTTTACCATTCTTCAGTTATGTCCCTTTATAACTATATGATATGCAAGCGGGGGCATCATCTGTGTCCACATGTGGACACTATCCACATTTTTTTTCTTTCTTTCCTTTATTTGCATTGCTTTGATAAAGTTAACATTTTTATACGACCGCAAAAAAATTTTGGGGTCGTATATTGGTATGACGTTGGCGGCGTCGTCGTCGTCGTCCGAAGACACATTGGTTTTCGCACTCTAACTTTAGTTTAAGTGAATGGATCTCTATGAAATTTTACCATAAGGTTCAATACCACAAACGGAAGGTTGGGATTGATTTTGGGGGTTATGGTACCAACAGTTAAGGAATAAGGGGCCAAAAATAAGCATTTTCTAGTTTCCAGACAATAACTTGTGGAACGGTGTATGGATCTCTCTGAAATTATACCACAAGTTTCCCTACCACAAAGGGATGGTTAGGATTTGCTTTGGGGGGTAATGGCTTAAACCGTTTAGGAATTAGGGGCAAAAAAGGGGGGAAAACAAGGTTGTCCTGGTTAATGGACAAATACTTTAGTACAAAACATAATTTAAAGCAGTGTAAGGGAGATAAATCAAATACAATATTTGAATTACCTCCCTTACACTGCTTTTAAATTATGTATAAAGTAATGGTTAATGAACAATCAAGACAATTTAAAACAGTGTAAGGGAGGTAATCCAAATACAACGTTTTGATTACTCCCCTTACACTGCTTTTAAATTATGTTTAAAGAAATGCATATTTATAAAGGAAGACCAGTAAAAATATCTGCAAATGTTGCATCTTTTTTTTTTTTACAAAAAAATCCATATGAAAGATTTGACACCATATTTTATATTCTATTATAAAATAGATTAAGTTAGCACTATGGTAACTTTAAATGGGTAATTATGGTTGCAAACTCCATTGGAAATTTGAATTGCGATAATGACCATATCTTGAGGGAAAGAATTTTTTGGGGGAAAAGGGGGGTGGGGGTAAAAAGAAATATTGGGGGTCAATTTTTTCTCATTTCATATTTCAGAAATTAAAAAGAATTATTCTTCAAATATTATTTTTTTTTCAAATTTCAAATATTGAAAAATTTCAAGAAGTAATCATCAATTGCACAGTATGGCGCATTAGATTTGTAAAATCTTTGACCACATTTATTTATTTGTTATGCCGAATCTAACCATGTATTTAGATTTTTAATTTTGGGTCCAGTTTTCAAATTGGTCTACATTAAGGTCCAAAGGGTCCAAAATTAAACTTAGTTTGGATTTTAACAAAAATTGAATATATGGGGTTCTTTGATATGCTGAATCTAAACATGTATTTAGATTTTTGATTTTGGGTCAAGTTTTCAAGTTGGTCCAAATTGGGGTCCAAAATTAAACTTTGCTTGATTTCAACAAAAATTGAATATATGGGGTTCTTTGATATGCTGAATCTAACCATGTATTAAGATTTTTTATTTGTGGGCCCCGCTATCAAATTGGTTCATATTGAGGTCAAAAGGGTCCAAAATTAAACTTTGTTTGATTTCATCAAAAATTGAATTATATTGGGGTTCTTTGATATGCCAAATCTAACCATGTATTTAGATTTTTAATTTTGGGTCCCAATTTTAAATGCCCGTTTACGGGACGTATTATGGTATACCGTTGTCCGTCCGTCTGTCCGTCGTCAACATGTCGGACATTGACTCAAAAATGCTTTAACCAATTTTGCATGAAACTTTGGTGAATTGTTTATATCTATTGACGTGAGCTCCCTTTCGTTTTTTATAAAATTTAGATTTTACGTTTCCGAGTTATGGGGTTTTATTCATTAAAAAAAGGGGGATTTTCCAGTTTTCGGACAATAAGTCAAGAATTCTTTCACTAAACTTGCAAGAAATTGTGGTGAATTGTTTATATCTATTGACATGAGCTCCCTTTTGATTTTTATAAATTTTAGATTTTACGTTTCCGAGTTACAGGGTTTTATTCATAAAAAAAGGGGGGATTTTCCAGTTTTCGGACAAAAACTCAAAAATGCTTTCAGCAATTCTTTTGAAACTTTGGTGATTTGTTTGTATGTATTGATGTAAGCTCCCTTAAGAATTTTATAAATTTTACATTTTGCATTTCTGAGTTATGGGGTTTTATTCATTTAAAAAAAGGTGTGATTTTCCAGTTTTCGGACAATAACTCAAAAATGCTGTCACCAATTCTCATGAAACTTTAGTGAATTGTTTATATCTATTGATGTAAGCTCCCTTTTTTTTTTCATAAATTTCTAATATGATATTGAGAATTAATTGACCTTTATTTGTTTATAGTCTGACAACAGATTTACTAAGTATTGCACAAGAGCAAGAAATCTTTAATTGAATATAAATTCAATTCATATAACCAATTTCAAGTTCTTTGACTACATTTATTCAGAAACCTATGATATGTCAAATATTTAATTACAATCCAAATTCAGACCTGAATCAAGCTTGAATATTGTGTCCATACTTGGCCCAACTGTTCAGGGTTCGACCTCTGCAGTCATATCAAGCTGCGCCCTGCGGAGCATTTTATTTTATTTTATCAGAATATTGGAAATAACTATTCTTCCCAACCGCTGGTCCAGTAATTAGAGTTTTGGAAAGCTAAATTTAGATTTAGGTTATCTTTGTTGAGCCTGCGTCTTTTGTCGCAGAAAGCTCGACATAGGGATAGTGATCTGGCGGCGGCGTTAGCTAACTTCTTAAAAGCTTTGAATTTCAGAAGCTAGAAGACCTGGATGCTTCATACTTTGTATATAAATGCCTTATGTCACGAAGTTTCCGTCTGTCATATGGTCATTGTCCTTGACCTCATTTTCATGGTTCAGTGACTACTTGAAAAAAAGTCAACATTTTTAGCTCACCTTGCCCAAAGGGCCAAGTGAGCATTTCTCATCACTTGGCGTCTGTCCGGCGTCGTCCGTCGTCGGCGTTAACTTTTTACATTTTGAACTTCTTCTAGAGAACCACTGAATGGAATGAAACCAAACATGGCATGAATGTTCCTTATGAGGTGCTGACCAAGTGTTGTTACTTTGTAGCCGATCCATCATCCAAGATGGCCGCCAGCGGGGGACTTAGTTTAACATAGGACCCTATGGGAAATGCATACAAATGACTTCTTTTAGAGAACCACTGAATGGAATGGAACCAAACATGGCATGAATGTTCCTTATGAGATGTTGACCAAGTGTTGTTACTTTGCAGGCGATCCATCATCCAAGATGGCCGACAGCGGGGGACTTAGTTTAACATAGGACCCTAAGGGAAATACATACAATTGTCTTCTTTTAGAGAACCACTGAATGGAATGGAACCAAACATGGCATGAATGTTCCTTATGAGTTGCTGACCAAGTGTTGTTACTTTGCAGTCGATCCATCATCCAAGATGGCCGCTAGGGGGGGGGGGGGGGGCTTAGTTTAACATTGGACCCTATGGGAAATACATACAAATGTCTTCTTTTAGAGTACCACTGAATGGAATGAAACCAAACATGGCATGAATGTTCCTTATGAAGTGCTGACCAAGTGTTGCTACTTTGTTGCCGATTTACTGTTCAAGATGGCCACCAGGATATTTTATTAAATAACGGGACCAATATTAATCAAAATTTGGCCTCAATCATTATTCGGGTATCTGTTATGATTTTTATCTATCTTTACATGATTTCTAAAACCAAAGTAGAGTCAGGTGAGTGACACAGGCTCTTGAGAGCCTCTAGTTTGTAATGTTAATTTCTTTCTTATTATGAGTAATAGGATAACTATATTTAGTATGTGCATACCTTGCAAGGTCCTCATGCCCGTCAGACAATTTTCATTTGACCTCGACCTCATTTCATGGATCAGTGAACAAGGTTAAGTTTCATGGTCAAGTCCATATATCAGATACTATAAGCAGTAGGTCTACTATATTTGGTATATGGAATGATTGTAAGATGTACATGTCCAACTGGTAGGTGTCATCTGACATTGACCTCATTTTTATGGTTCAGTGGTCTAAGTTAAGTTTTTGAGTTTTGGTCTTTTTTTCTAATACTATATGCAATAGGTCAACTATATTTGGAGTATGGAATTATTGTATGATGTACATGTCAGTCGCGCAGGTTTTATTTGACCTTGACCTCATATTCACGGTTCATTTCTCAGTGTTAAGTTTTTGTGTTTTGGTCCGTTTTTCTTCAACTATAAGCAATAGATCAACTATATTTGTTGTATGGAAGGATTGTAAGGTGTATATGTCTGTCTGGCAGGTATCATCTGACCTTGACCTCATTTTCATGGTTCATTGGTCAATGTTAAGTTTTCATGGTTAAGTTTGTTTCTTAGATACTATAAGCAATAGGTCAACTATATTTAATGCATAAATTGATTGTAAGGTGAACATGTCTGTCTGGCATGGTTCATCTGACCTTGACCTCATTTTCATGGTTCATTGGTCAATGTTAAGTTTTCTTGGTTAAGACTGTTTCTTAGAAACTATAAGCAATAGGTCAACTATGTTTGATTTATTGAATGATTGTAAGGTGTACATGTATTTCTCGTTTGAATTATCTGACCTTGACCTCATTTTCTTGGATCATGTTAAGTTTATTTGTTACTTGTAGTAAAGCTTTATATTTAGTACTATCAACATAAAATCAATGGTTAGTAAAGAAGGTGTGACATTTCAGCGTGTGCACTCTTGTTTATTTTAAAACCTTTTTTTTTTTCTTTTTATACGCCTGTTTACGGGACGTATTATGGTATACTGTTGACCGTCTGTCCGTCTGTCTGTCCGTCCGTCTGTCCGTCCGTCCGTCGTCAACATGTCGGACATTAACTCAAAAAAGCTTTAACCGATATGCATGAAACTTTGGTGAATTGTTTATATCTATTGACATGAGCTCCCTTTTATTTTTTATAAATTTCAGATCTACCGTTTCCGAGTTTTGAGGTTTTATTCATTAAAAAAGGGGGGATTTTCCAGTTTTCCGACAATAACTCAAGAATGCTTTCACCAACTGGCAAGAAATTTTGGTGAATTGTTTATATTTATTGACATGAGCTCCCTTTTGGATTTTTATAAATTATAGATTTAACGTTTCCGAGTTAAGGGTTTTATTCATAAAAAAAGGGGAATTTTCCAGTTTTCGGACAATAACTAAAAAATGCTTTCAGCAGTTCTCATGAAACTTTGGTGAATTGTTTATATCTGTTGATGTAAGCTCCCTTTAGAATTTTATAAATTTTAGATTTTACATTTCTGAGTTATGGGGTTTTATTCATTAAAAAAGGGGATTTTCCAGTTTTTGGACAATAACTCAAAAATGCTTTCAGCAGTTCTCATGAAACTTTGGTGAATTATTTATAGTTATTGATGTAATCTGCCTATTGATTTTCATAAATTTCAAATGTGACATTGAGAAGAAATTGAACTTTATTTGTTTATAGTCTGACAACAGATTTACTAAGTATTGCGCAACAGCACAGTGTATTGCACAACAGCAAGAAATCTTTAATTGAATATAAATTCAATTCATATAACAAATTTCAATTTCTTTGACTACATTTATTCAGAAACCTATAATATGTCACTATTTAATTACAATCCAAATTCAGACCTGTATCAAGCTTGAATATTGTGTCCATTTTTGCCCCAACTGTTTAGGGTTGGACCTCTGTGGGCTTATCCAACTGTGCTCAGCGAAGCAGTTTATTTGCATTGCTTTGATATTGTTGAATTAACCGGATTTTCGAAGAAATATCGGATATTGATTTCGGGATGTACGGCGGGCGGGCGGCTGCCAAACAGTGTCCGTTCAATAACATGTAAACCCTTTGACAAAATTTTTTCAAATTAGATATGTTATTTCCTGCTACTAAATGGTCCAAGGACACAGTTATCGTCCTTTGGTTTTCGTTGTCTACGAATATAGTCCCTAGTGTGAACAGTGTATAACTTGCATTTTTTTTTGATACACTTTCCCAATTTATTTCTTGATATTTTATGCATGAAATATTAAGTAAGGGGATGAAATTACATGTTAAAAAAATTTGGGTGCTGAATCTTTATGTTAAGTAGTGATTTGGTCCAGTTAACAAAGGTCAAAAATTAGAATGTCGGAAGCTGTCAAACTGAATTTTAGCCCCCCTTAACACAGAATTGTCAATATTTTGAGTTAGAGCTGGTAGAAGTTTCTATAATTTTGATATTATTTGTATCAATAGTAGTACACTACACTGTAAAAATCTTTTTGAGATAGAGCAGGTGCGATTTTTTTAATTTGAATTTATTGTCTAAAAGAAATGCACTACAAAATAACTGTGTTCTCGGGCCTAAGAGATGAATTCCGTAAATGTAGATTCTGTACTTTGGCAACTTTCCTGAATGGTTTTCTGGTTTCAATTTGTCAAACTCAATAAAAGTAAAGGATTTACATCTTTGTTTGACAGAAATTCTGTTAAAATGTCCCATTTTGGCATTATAAGGCTAAAATAAGCATTTTAAAGCAGTTTCCATTTTATGCCTAAGAGCCATGCTGACTTTCTATCTGACAACTTTTTATGTTCCTGATATTTGTGTTTCTATGCTTAAATCAAATTAAATTAACCATTTGTGAACTCGGAATCTAGAGAAAAGTAGATTATCACAGAAAAAATGTGCAGAATATTTGTATTTATGTCCCTGGTTAAACGGCCTGTTTGATGTATGTGAAATGTGAAGAGCTTTGTACATAAAATCTGTAGTCCGTCACAAATATTTCACTAAATCTGTAAAAAAAACACTTTACAATGATCAGTACACCCTATTCATTTCATATGCTACTATAATTTTCTTCTTTAGGATAGTAAGTGGTTCAAATATATGCCAAATGAGACTAAAACTTCATGCAAGTTTCCCATTGAAAAGTGAAAAACTGGTCATCAGACCATACTGTCTGCAAAATAAAGTTGAATTCAAGAGTCCTTTTGCAATTAGACTTCTTGTATCATGACATCTTAGCATAGAAATGAGCAAAAAGTAACAAATTTCACTTCCTTATAGCCTCTGTGTGCATTTTTATATGTAAATATGGGCTACGGCCTAAATCGACTCTAAATAATTCTCAGTCTTACATGGCCTAAGACCATTTTATACTCATGTGGTATGCTTTTTGTAACTTTTCTTTACATTTAAAGTACATTTAATATATATGGAAGAATAATGTATGGTTAAAAACCTTCAAAAACTTCAAATTGGTTGAAAAAAATGCATGTTTATGTAAGACTTCCCTTAATTCGGAAATCTCTATTTTCAGGCACAGGCTCATATAAATTTGACTTTTGAATAACTGTAATAAATCTGATAAATCAAATGAGTGTTCCGTTGCTTTTAATACTTATTATATTAAATTCAAGAGTATTTAAAAAGCAAATTTTTGCAATATTTAAATTTTTCAGGCCAAAATCTTGACAGTTGAAAATATTTGATTTAAACGTCAAAAATAAACATCCAAATTTCAATATTAAAATGGCCCTAGTTTATCTAATATATATATCCTATGGCCATGAAACTTGGCCAACTATCTTAAAAATGCCTAAGCTTAGGTCATGCAAAGTTTTATTAAAATTGGTCAAGTCATTCTATCCTATTAGGTCCAAGGACACAGTTATCGTCCTTTGGTTTTCGTTGTCTACGAATATAGTCCCTAGTGTGAACAGTGTATAACTTGCATTTTTTTTTGATACACTTTCCCAATTTATTTCTTGATATTTTATGCATGAAATATTAAGTAAGGGGATGAAATTACATGTTAAAAAAATTTGGGTGCTGAATCTTTATGTTAAGTAGTGATTTGGTCCAGTTAACAAAGGTCAAAAATTAGAATGTCGGAAGCTGTCAAACTGAATTTTAGCCCCCCTTAACACAGAATTGTCAATATTTTGAGTTAGAGCTGGTAGAAGTTTCTATAATTTTGATATTATTTGTATCAATAGTAGTACACTACACTGTAAAAATCTTTTTGAGATAGAGCAGGTGCGATTTTTTTAATTTGAATTTATTGTCTAAAAGAAATGCACTACAAAATAACTGTGTTCTCGGGCCAAATGAAGGTCAAGTTCAATTTTCACGATTTTAGCTTTTCTCGTTGTTGAGTTATCACCCTTTTTAATATCCATAAGTGGTACGTTTTTGTGATTGAGTTATTTTCCTTTGGACAGAAATTGTTAATTATATACATAAAGTTTGATTACACTTAGCCTTTATAGATAATTTTCACCTGTGATCAGTTTACTATACATACGGTTAATGTCTTATCTCACAATTGTAATTGGAGTGACAGATTTATTTGAAAATTTTCTGTTTTCTAAGTGTTGATGATTAAAAGCTATATAGGAGTAAATATAGTTAGAAATTTACTGTTCATTATTAGACATTTTGAAGATAATAACAGATAAGTTTTATAGATTTTTAAAAGACATTGTACATGTTTTAATGATAAATAAAATTTTGGATTTTTTTTTTTCTTTGGTAAATTGTTTGAAGAATTTTGTGGTAAGTTTGTTTGTTATTCTGTAAAAACTAATTTTCTGAATGCTGTATATATATTTTTTTTTTTGATAAGGTGAACTCCTTTAAAAACTAAGCTTTTATTGTCTATTAATAAACATATATTTAGATTTCTGATTTTGGGCCCAGTTTTCAAGTTGGTCCAAATCGTGGTCCAAAATTAAACTGTGTTTGATTTCAACATAAATTGAAAATATATAGGGTTCTTTGAAATGCTGAATCTAAACCTGTATTTATTTTCATTATTAGTTAGATAATACCACATCAGGGTCCAAAGGGTCCTAAATTAAACTTTTGTTTAATCAACAATTGAATTCTTGGGTTCTTTGAAATGCTGATTCTAACAATGTTTGAGTGTTAAATCATATCTAATTTTAGAGAACTTAGTCATCACTGGTTGTTGTTATTATATTATTGATTATAATTTGAAAAATTACATCATATCTAATTTTATAGAACTTAGTCATCACTGGTTTATTGATTTTAATCATATCTATTTATCCAGTTTGAGTTATTTCCCTTTGCACAGAAAATATTATGGATAAAATTAAATTGTGTTTCATTTCAATTTAAATTAAATATATATAGGGTTCTTTCAAATGCTGAATCTAAACCTGTATTTAAATATTAGATTTTTGGGCCCAGTTTTCAAGTTGGTCCAAGTCAGGGTCCAAAATTAAACTTTGTTTGATTCACAAAAATTGAATTTATGTGGTTCCTTGAAATGCTGAATCTAACCATGTATTGAGAGATTTTGGATTGTGGTCTCCTTTATCAAATTGGTCCACATTGTGGTTCAAAGGGTCCTAAATTAAACTTTTGTTTGAATTCATCAAAAATTGAATTCTTGGGGTTCTTTGATATGCTGATTCTAACAATGTACTTCGATTTTGGATATTGGACCATAATAGGTAAATGTCCAATTTCAAATATTTCAGTTCTTTGACCACATTCATTTTGTGTCACAAAACTATGCTGTGTCAAATATTCAATCACAATCCAAATTCAGAGCAGTTTTAAGCTTAAATGTAGTGTCCATACTTGCTCAACTATTCAGGGTTCGACCTCTGCAGGAAAATCCGGTTTGCTGTCAATCTGACAGCCGCTTGTTTTTATACGACCGCAAAAATTGAAAATTTTTTGGTCGTATATTGGTATGACGTTGGCGTCGTCGTCGTTGTCCGGCGTCGTCCGAAAACACATTGGTTTTCGCACTCTAACTTTAGTTTAAGTGAATGGATCTCCATGAAATTTTACCATAAGGTTCAATACCATGAACGGAAGGTTGGGATTGATTTTGGGGGTTATGGTACCAACAGTTAAGGAATTAGGGGCCAAAAAGGGGCCAACAATAAGCATTTTTGTAACTTCCAGACAATAACTTGTGTGTAAGTGTATGGATCTCTCTGACATTGTACCACATGGTTCTATACCACAAAGGGAAGGCTGTAATTGATTTTGGGGGTAATTGCCTCAAAATGTTAGGAATTAAGGGCCAAAAAAGGGGCAAAAAACAAGCATTTTTCTAGTTTCATGACAATAACTTGTGTGTAAGTGTTTGGATATTTCTGAAATTGTACTACAAGGTTCCATATCACAAAGGGAAAGCTGGAATTGAGTTTGGGGGTAATTGCCCGAAACGTTAAGGAATTGGGGGCCAAAAAGGGGCCAAAAATAAGCATTTTTCTAGTTTCCAGACAATAACTTGTGTTCAAGTGTATGGATCTCTCTGAAATTGTACTGCAAGGTACCATACCACAAAGGGAAGGCTGAGATTGAGTTTGGGGGTGATGAATCATAAGGGGGTTCAAAAAATTTTGGGGGGGGATTTTTTTTTTTCTTTTTTTTTTTCCTTTTTTTCCTTTTTTTTTTCTTTTAAAATTTTCCATTTTAAGTTGGTTATTTCTGATTTATATTTTAAAGCAAATAATAATGATATGGTAGGAGATACACACCAAACAGGATGTGTAAATTATTATATAATAAGTATTGTGCTATAGCAAGAAATTTTCAATTGCACAGTATTGCACAATAGCAAGAAATCTTCAATTGCACAGTATTGCGCAATAGCAAGAAATCTTCAGTTGCACAGTATTGCGCAATAGCAAGAAATATCCAATAGCACAATATTGCGCAATAGCAAGAAATTGTCAATTGTACAGTATTGCGCAATAGCAAGAAATAATCAATTGCACAGTATTGTGCAAAAGAAGATACTTCGTATAAATTGCTTATTTCTTGATCAATTTCAATGGGGTTTTATTCTTGAATTCTTGGGGTTCTTTAATATGCTGAATCTAACCGTGTATTAAGTTTTTGGATTTTGGGCCCCGTTTTTAAATTGGTCCACATTGAGGTCCAAAGGGTCCAAAATTTAACTTTGTTTGATTTCATCAAAAATTGAATTATTGGGGTTCTTTGATATGCCGAATCTAACCGTCTATTTAGATTCTTAATTTTTGGTTCTGTTTTCAAATTGGTCTACATAAAGGTCCAAAGGGTCCAAAATTAAACTTAGTTTGATTTCAACAAAAATTGAATATATGGGGTTCTTTGATATGCTGAATCTAACCATGTATTTAGATTTTTGATTATGGGCCCAGTTTTCAAGTTGGTCCAAATCGGGGTCCAAAATTAAACTTTGTTTGATTTCAACAAAAATTGAATATATTGGGTTCTTTGATATGCTGAATCTAACCATGTATTTAGATTTTTGATTATGGGCCCAGTTTTCAAGTTGGTCCAAATCGGGGTCCAAAATTAAACTTTGTTTGATTTCAACAAAAATTGAATATATGGGGTTCTTTGATATGCTGAATCTAACCATGTATTTAGATTTTTGATTGTTTGGCCCCGTTATCAACTTTGTCCACATTGAGATCAAAAGGGTCCAAAATTAAACTTTGTTTGATTTCATTAAAAATTGAATATATGGGGTTCTTTGATATGCTGAATCTAACCATGTATTTAGATTTTTGATGATGGGCCCAGTTTTCAAGTTGGTCCAAATCGGGGTCCAAAATTAAACTTTGTTTGATTTCAACAAAAATTGAATATATGGGGTTCTTTGATATGCTGAATCTAACCATGTATTTAGATTTTTGATTATGGGCCCAGTTTTCAAGTTGGTCCAAATCGGGATCCAAAATTAAACTTTGTTTGATTTCAACAAAAATTGAATATATGGGGTTCTGTAATATGCTGAATCTAACCGTGTATTAAGTTTTTGGATTTTTGGCCCCGTTTTTAAATTGGTCCACATTGAAGTCAAAAGGGTCCAAAATTTAACTTTGTTTGATTTCATCAAAAATTGAATTATTGGGGTTCTTTGATATGCCGAATCTAACCGTGTATTTAGATTCTTAATTTTTGGTTCCGTTTTCAAATTGGTCTACATAAAGGTCCAAAGGGTCCAAAATTAAACTTAGTTTGATTTTAACAAAAATTGAATTTTTAGGGTTCTTTGATATGCTGAATCTAAACATGTATTTAGATTTTTGATTATGGGCCCAGTTTTCAAGTTGGTCCAAATCGGGGTCCAAAATTAAACTTTGTTTGATTTCAACAAAAATTGAATATATGGGGTTCTTTGATATGCTGAATCTAACCATGTATTTAGATTTTTGATTTTTGGGCCCTGTTATCATTTTTGTCCACATTGAGTCAAAAGGGTCCAAAATTAAACTTTGTTTGATTTCATCAAAAATTGAATTCTTGGGGTTCTTTGATATGCTGAATCTAACCATGTATTTAGATTTTGGATATTGGACCATAATAGGTGAATGTCCAATTTAAAATTTTTAAGTTCTTAGACCACATTCATTCTGTGTCAGAAACCTATGCTGTGTCAAATATTTAATCACAATCCAAATTCAGAGCTGTATCAAGCTTGAATGTTGTGTCCATACTTGCCCCAACTGTTCAGGGTTCGACCTCTGCGGTCGTATCAAGCTGCGCCCTGCGGAGCATTTTATTTTAGTTATTTGAAGTTATTAATATTTTCCTAATATCATTAAAGTACAAATTTTACTGCTCCAGTAACTTCAACTTATTTTGATTTTTTGTTTGTTTCACAATCAACTTTTAGTCAGCTTTAATCACTGTGATAAATCCTTTCAATCTGATAAATGTGCTTCGGGGCAGTTGTAAATCATTTATAAAAACTCTTTGTTTTGAACTGTAAATAGACCCAAATAATAAGATAATCCCTTACTAAGAACATAATTTCCATTCATTCTTCACCATTAAGAGACATCAAATCCTACAATTTCATTGGTCGAGAGCACTTTGCTATATTCTAATTTCTTACTTAGAACATGATTTACATTCATTCTTCATAATTAAGGCACATCAATTCCTACAATTTCATTGGTCAAGAGCACTTTGCTATATTCTAATGTCATTTATCCCTCAGGGGATTACATAATAATTTACTTTACACCTATCTGAAATTGTGAAGTAAATTATTTTAATTATTTATCAAGTAAATTATTTCTTAAGCTAGTGCTTAATATCTTAACTAATACTGAAATATAAGAATTATTAGAATTTTACATATTAACATACTGACATCTAAAATATACTGGTTATACACTTCCCCTTGTTGCCAAGATTGCTCCTGCAATCTTCACTTAAAACATCATTTGAAAAGTGAAATATTATGAGTAAAAGAATAACTGTATTTGGTATATGGGTTCCTTGCAAGATCTACATGTCTATTAGATAGGGTTCACCTGACTTCAACCTCCTTTCATGGATCAGTGATCAAGGTTAAAGTTACATGGTCAAGTCTGTATCTCAGATACTTTTGAGCAGAAGTTCAACTATATTTGGTGTATGGAATGATTGTAAGGTGTACATGTCTGACTGGTAGGATTCATCTGACCTTGACTTCATTTTCATGGTTCATTGAACAATGTTTAGCTTTTGTCTCGCCTGCGACGAAAGTTATGGAAAGCGAGACATAGGGATTGCTTTTCTGGCGATTCCGGCTCCAGCTTCAACAATTGTTAAGAGTTCTGCTTAAGTTAGGGATCAGCTATCATTTGATTTTTATGGTGGTGGGGGCCAGGATGAAAAATATTGTCCTGCATTTTTTTTTTTGGTTGTAATCTCTGTCCTGCCTTTTTATTTTTCACTCTATTCGGTTCTGCCTTTTTTTTTTATTAATTTATCCTGCATTTTTTGTCATAAATTGTCATCTTGACTTTTTTTTTACTCCAAACTCCTGTGCTGCCTTTTTTTCCAAATTTCAACCTCCCCCAGCTAATTAATTAGCAATTTTCAATGTTAAGTTTTCTGCTTAAGTTAGTTTGATAGGATCTGCTTATGATAAATCATTGATATTTTGTATGAAGTCGCATTACTATCAGTACATATCAGACTATTTAGAGGCCCTGCCCCCTAGGACATGGTCCAGTGACTTTGAATTAATTAGCAATTTTCAATGTTAAGTATTCTGCCTTAGTTAGTTTGATAGGATCAATTTGTGATAGATCAATAATGTTTTGTATGAAGTTGCATTTCTATCTGTTCATATCAGTTTGACAAATATTTCGAGGTCCTGTGCCCTTTGTCATGGTCCAGTGACTTGGGATTAATTAGCAATTTTCAATGTTAAGTTTTTCTGCTTAAGTTATATTGGTAGGAACTACTTACAATAAACAACGATATTTTCTATAAAGTTACATTACTGTCTGTACATCTCAGTTTGTCGACCATTTTCAGGCCCTGCCCACTAGATCATGGTCCAGTGACTGAATTAATAAGCAATGTTGCTGTCCATCAGATTGTCTTTTTCTGAATTTTATGCCGATAGGCGTGACATATCTCTGTGTTAACAGTTTATTGTGGTTTGGTATGAATTTCTCAGATACTATAAGCAATAAGTCAAGTAATTGAAGTATATTTTATCATATTTAGTGTATGCAATATTTGTAAGGTATACATGTCTGTCTGGCATGTTTCATATGACCTTGACCTCATTTTCATGGTTCATTTGTCAATGATAGGTTTTTGTGGTTATGTCAATTTATCAGTTACTATTTTAAAAACAAAAGGTCAACTATATTTGGTGTATGGAATGATTGTAAGGTGTACATGTCTGTCTGGCAGAGTTCATATTACCTTGACCTTATTTTCAAATTTCATTGGTCAATGTTAAGATTTTGTGGTTTGATCTGTTTCTCCAGTACTATAAGCGATAGGACTACTATATTTATTGTATGGAATGATTGTTAGGTGTACATGTCTGTCTCGCATGGTTCATCTTTCCATGACTTCATTTTCATGGATCATTGATAATGTTAAGTTTATGTGATACTTGTAGTAAAACAATCATATTGCAGACTTCTAACATGATTTCAATCATAAGTAGAACAGGCGAGAAATTTCAGCATTTGCACGCTTGTTTGTTAATGCAATTCATTTTATCTATCAAATATAAAGTTACTCAGAGTACCTGAGAAGAATAAATCAGACATTAAACCGTTCTCATCTTAACCTCTAGGTTGTTTTGTTTTAACAAATCAACAGATATTAAACAGTTATTAAAATAAAATTCTCCTCGGAAAGGCTGTGGAATTTGTCTGCTTTAAATCGTAACAAACATAATTTAAACTTGTTCTTGTCATTTTAAGTTATAAAATATGATAAAAAATGTATCTTATGCAGAAAAAAATGTGTCCAAAATTTGATGAAGGGTAAAACATTTGCAAATATGCTGTATAAGCCCACAAGACAATTTATACAGTTTTTTTTTCAGTATTTGCCTGGGCTGAGAAAATATAATTATTAAATATCAACAAGGCAACATCATCAGTATTTCACATGCTGATTTATCTGTATTAGGGCAGATTTTGTCACATCATTTAGTAGTACATCCATTTATTATGTAATGCAAATATATATTACCACTGCCTTCAGCAATATGGTTTCAATAGGCTGTTTTTGACATAACACATTTTACAATTTTTACCTGAACATACAGATTTGCTGAGTTCAAATGCATTTTCTTGATAAACTGTCATCAGTAACTGCTTATACAGAACAGATCATAGTCAGTTCATATGGACTTTGCTATCTACAACTGCATGACCTCCAAAAAAAATAAAACAATGGTGAAACTATTTTTCAGCTTTTACAAGAGAGTCCTGCCATTACCCTCAGAAAATTGGTCTTCCAGTGTTGACATGTGGTTTTGCCATAAGCATGAAAATGATGATACAGATTATAAATCAATATCACTTATACCAAAGTCAAGAGAGTGTTTTGTTGGTACTTCATATTTACTAGTCAGATCAACACACCTCCATGTCAGAGACAGTCACAATGGCACAGTTACATGCCCAAGATGTCATGTAGAGATTGGTGCTAAATTTGTTGATAGAAATAAATCAAATGGTAGGTTATGGAATTAATATTAAAAATTTTAAAATGAACTATAAATAAGCATAGGTGCTTGAGGACAGGATCCTGTTATGAGCCCCCATAATCCCTCCCCCTTGTTATCATAAATCCTCAATTTTTCAATATATATCGCGTATTTGTACCATATGTATACCAATATACCATATTTTTACTCTAAATATATATGTTTACTATCAAAGTGCCACTCGACTATAGAGCACGATTTTTTTCCCAATTCACCTAGCAAGTGAATACCAGGCCATAATTAAAATAACACTTGTTGGACATTTTCCAGCTGACCTATGGTCTCATGGTTTTGTTCAAATTATTTATTTAAAGAGGGCATAATGATTTTGTCATGTCCTGTAGATCAATAAGTATCAAACATTATTCATACCTGTGCAAGGACTTCAATGACGCACTTCCTAGCATAATACCAAAAAGTTACAAGAATACACCAGTTGCAAAGCATTCATACACTTTCCTGAAACAAACAAAAATTAACTTTTCTACCTATCAACCTTATGATATGCAAGTTCCAAGCAAAATTTTGTTTTATACTATTGCTCCATAGAATAATGCTACATGTGTGTTATAATTATGGCCATAACTATATTTGGAATTGCAGGGTTTTAGAGCGAAGGCCTGTTTTATTTATTGTGGTTTCATTTCACCGTTAATTTTATTTTCAAACAAAGAAAAGCTTACTTGTGCAATTAAATACTATGCAATGTTACACACAATTGTGCCCCAATGGACGCTAAACTGTCATTGAAACGGATGTCTGCTAATTGAATCATATGTTTGACATCATGGTGTCAGACTGGATGAAATAACACTGCCATAAAAAGAGGAAGACTTAATCAATTAACAATGATGCAATGGTACCTACATTGCAACACAGTGGACACTACCATACATAATTGAAACAAAATTTGGCTACTTGAATCTAAAAGTCTTACACCTTGACATCACACAAATAATCTCTATGTATTCAATCTCCCACAAAATTTGACTTATTATTGTAAAATATAAATAATGTAATTAGAAAGCAATTACTAATATGACATTGGAAAGGTTGCTGCATGCTGAACAGGACATGCTAGTCTCAGCTAGATCACCTGATATCACTCAGTTGTTACGGGCATTCACATTAACTCAAGCCCAAGCTTTCATTTTCATTGATATTTATTGTTAGTCCCCTACCGACGAAGTCGAAGGGGACTTTAGGTTTGCACTCAGTCCGTCTGTCTGTCCTTCTGTCAGTCCGGCAAATCAGTTTTCCACACTTTTTTTCTTCATGCTTGAAGATATTGATTTGATATTTGGTATATTGTTTTATCATGACAAGTTACAGATCAAGATCGAATTTTGTTCCGGTCTGATAATTTTGTGCAGAGTTATGGTCCTTGGACTTGGAAAATTCACTAAAATATTCAGTTTTCCGCACTTTTTTTCGTCATTCTTGAAGATATTGATTTAATAATTGGTACATTGTTTTATCATGACAAGTTACAGATCAAGTTCGAATTTTGTTCCGGTCTGATGATTTTGTGCAGAGTTATGGTCCTTGGACTTAGAAAATTCACTTAAATTATCAGTTTTCCGCACTTTTTTTGGCATGTTTGAAGATATTGACTTGATATTTGTTATATAGTTTACACCATGACAAGTTATAGATCAAGTTAGCATTTTGTTCCAGTACAATTAATTTTTAACCGGTAGAGGACTATGTATTGCCATGCAATACTTTCAGAATGCTTGTTTAATTACATGTGTGCATGTATTTACACTGGGGGTCTCTTCCTAAATAAATGTATATGTTACAGGCATTTTCTAAATTTAGGCATTTTGTTAAATTACTGAATTTTCAGGCAATTTATAAAATGCCTAACCTTGTCAGGAATTATATAAAATGACTGAAAATACCTAGTCATTTTGTAAAATTGACTGAAATTTAGAAACAAAATTCAACAAATTGCCTGTTCAGCATTAGGTAATTTGTTAAAAAAGATAATTATTATTGAGATGCATTTGACATGTTTGATCAAAAACACAATATCTTTGCAAAGAAATAATTATTTGGTAAAATTGAGTTTATTTTCCAAAATGAGCTTGGAAAGATTGTATTCTTTTTAGTGAAACTAAGTATTTACTCACTCTGTATTGTAATTTTGTCATCATATTGTTATGATTGCAGAAGGACAAATTGTAAGTTTAGAAACGAATTTTGAGAAAATCTAGATTTAAAACAGAAGTTTGTTATATGAAGCAGAGATTAATAAGCATGTTTTTTATTGACTGATTGTTGTTTTTTTTTTTGCATTCTGTAGCAAATATTTCATGCATATTTAAGACAAGAACAAATTTATAATAAATCAAAGAGCTAAGTTCTGCAATAGATTAACTCGGATAAAGAAGAGGAATTCTGACTGTTGCTTGAAATGAATATATGTTGGATAGAGACAGAAAAGTTATATTTATAATTTATACATTCTGCACAGCCAAACAGATTCCCTTTATATAGCATGGGTTTCACCATACAAATTTGTGTCTAGTTGTGATGCAAAAGTATATGAGTATCTTCATCTTCACTGCCAAAAAGAATCCTTGGGTCTTTACAACCGAATGAATTAATGCATCATTAGTTAACCGTTGTAAAATCTTGAAAATCAACAAAGATGAGACAAATAAATTTGCCCCAACATGGTAAGTGTCCCCTGCTATGGATGCACCACCTGACATGCATATAGGTGCTTCAGCCTTTTAAATGCTCTCATAGCAAAAAAGATGTCAGTCAATCTAATCATTGAATCTGTTGGGGGACACATGAAAAAGCAGATATTCATGTGTCTGCTTTTTACGAAACCCAATGTTGGTCGAATATTAAGTGTTTTATCAGAAAAAGAATTGACAAAGCTGCATGTGTGATGGTCAGGTTTTAACAAGATGTGGTTGTAGTGCTAAGACCAGATTTTACTCCAAACAATGTATTTGAAAAAAAAAAACCAGGACAAATGTGTAACATATCCTGCAATCCATCATTATATGAAATAACTAATAATTTTTAAGTTCGGTGCTTTGGGGAATTTTAAATAATTCAGTAGAATTTATTTTTAGCTCACCTGGCACAAAGGGCCAAGTGAGCTTTTCTCATCACTTGGGGTCCGTTGTCTGCGTCGTCTGTTAACTTTTACAAAAATCTTCTCTGAAACTACTGGGCCAAATTTAACCAAACTTAGCCACAATCATCATTGGGGTATCTAGTTTAAAAAATGTGTCTGATGACCCCACCTGCTAACCAAGATGGCCGACATGGCTAGAAATAGAACATAGGGGTAAAATGCAAGTTTTGTCTTTTATTTGAAAACCGCTATAAAAAGAGAAAATCTGACAGGAGCAGAAATGTTAAGAATGTTGAGCTCTACCAATTGTCCATATACATTTGTACGTCAAAACTGTCAGACGACTTCTTATAGGAGTTATTGCCCTTAAATGACAAGTTTTACCTTTTTTTTCATTTTAGCCTATTATCTTGAAAACTATAATAGATAGAGGGAAACTTTAAAATGCAAAAATGATCAGCAAGACAAGTTCTACAAATAAGTCTGCCATGGTCGAATTCATCAGTTGACTCCTTATTACTAAGTTATTGCCCTTTGATGTCGATTTTTACCAATTTTTGTGTTTTTGCCTTATATTTTAGAAATTATAATAGATAGATAGATAGATAGAAACCTCTTTTGTGTTTTGAGCAAAAGCTAAAAAATAGAGAGAATCTAAACTGACTAAATGATCAGCAATACAAGATCAACAAATCAGAGATTTTTGTCATGAATTCTATTCTTGTCTACAATGTTGGAGAGTCTTTTGTTGAATATGTGCATAGTCCAAGGTCAGCGACACAGGCTCTTTAGAGCCTCTAGTTAATTGTTAAAACTCTTAGAATGCAAGCTTAAAAATTCATTAATTAAAGATAAAACTGCTCTGTTGTTCCATTCTTTCAATTGCTCAGTTTTTGTTAATAACTCATTCTATAAAATCATTTCAGGCATTTTGTAAAATGCTTTTCAATTTTTCCAGGCATTTTAGTAGAAAATGCCTAAACAAATTAGTCAATATATAGAATGCCTGAATCTTACAGGCATTTTAGATTTCAGGCATTTTACAAAATGCCTAAATTTAGAAAATGCCTGTAACATATACAAAGATGTGCAGCTGGTATGGGTCTCTTTTCAGGAATGTCAAATATATCAATGGGGTGCAATTTCACAGAGATTATATATAAAATATAACAATGGGTAGAAATTCATATGTCAATGGGTCATAAATGTTCATTTTCTGCTGAGATGTCAGTATAAATCTTTTTATATAATAAATACGAATGATCATGTGTGGTTAACATCTAATTAAGATGTCATGAAATGAATAGTCTTATGATTTTCCTATGAAATATATGTATGGGTAGGGATTTTTGCAATAATCAACATGTAAATGGGGGGGGGGGGTTAAACCCAAGCCAGACATCTGTACCCAAATTTGTATTTTAAGACCTCCCCTGTGTGTATGTATAATTAGTTGGGTGCTGGCCTTGTCTTTTTAGGGTTGCATCAGTTGTATACTGTCCTTTGCATTTTAAATAACTTGATTTTTTTTCTTGTGACACAATCACATAAGTACCCTTCTTGTGTCCATCTGTAAACATTGTATCATCTTGGCATACATAGTAAACAACATATAATAAGTTGACTGCTGCAGAATGTTAGAATATGTTCAGAATGTATTATACATGTATTACAGATTAACAGCAGCTGTTCAAGTTGAAAGTTGCGACTGGATGTTAAGCAACCAACAATCAATCAATTAATCAAGTTGAAAGTGTTTTTAAATCCGTATTTTTTTATGTTTGCCAGATCTCTCTGTCACCCTTTGCAGTTCTAACTTCTGATGTTATTGCATACCATACCTGTTTTATATTTAGTAAATATTAAAAATTTTATGCATTTTTTCCTGTATAAATGATAAAATTAACAAGTTTTGTGACATATGTAACCCTTTTTCTTTACTAAGGGTTATATCAAGAGTAGCTATGTTATCATAAAACAAGTACCGGTACATGGAAAAATTTATTTGGTGATGCCACTATTGATGCTTATAAAATGTGTATATTCTGCTGCAACACAAAACTGCAGAATTTCCTTTGTTTTTCTATTGACTTCGTTTGAATTTACAGATACTTTTCAATGTTTAAAAGTTAATGAGGACAATCATTTAGAATAAAAAAAATTACTAAGTGTTCAAACTATTTATCAGTAACAGGAGATTCTTAGCTTATATATAAATGAGACAGCAAGTTGCCAACCATAACATATAAATAAACCAGAACAGATAATTGTATTTCAAGCTATACAAAGAAAACATTTGTATATTTGTGGTTATCAGAGTTGTATAACAACTTGATTGATAGGGATAATGGTTTATAAACAATTTTATTCAGATATTTTGACCAAATTAAAATTGATGGAATGAAACAAAAAATGCTGTAAACTTTTTAATGTCTGTTTATGTTGCTTACATATGTTAAAATGATATTTGAAGTAGTATGCATTTTTGGCTTGACAAAAATTGGCAAGTTTGTATACAAAAGATGTACACATAATAATTGTAAAATTTTTATTTCAGAAATGAATGGCTATGCAGAAAACCCTGTATACAAAATATTTAGTGAAAGTGTTATATTTCACAGAGATGACAATTTATGTTGGAATGAAAGGTAAACATTACACAGAGTTTAAAAATACTGTTGAAAATACATTATCAGATTACAGATCAGTATATGGCATTGTATGTTTCACCACTCACAGGGACATAGCTGCCTTAAGGAATTATAGGCACATGCCTACAGTTTTTTTTTTTCTTAATTCATTAAAAATATAATAACATAGTCTGTGTGACTACTGAGAATTTTTATACTTTTCATGAACTTAATAATCATGATTCTATCCAACTATCAAATGTATTGCCTATCCCTAAATGCCCTAATTAGATGCAAGTGAAGCTCTGATATCTATTTATAATTATACACTACAGGCACAATGGTAGTCAACAAAATGTTTATATTGAAGCTGTCAATACATGTCTTAACAGACCATTTTCATATTACCATCTTTTGACTCTGGAGTTTATAATTTTTCGACAGGTTAGGGAGGGGTATGGTCTTTTCCTAAAAAAATATATTCTGATCCCCAATTTGATGAAAAAAGAAATATTGGGGTCAAGCAGAAGACAAAAAAAATATTCTGAATCCAGATTTTCCCCATACCTTATAGTGTTAAATTTTGAAAAAAATAATTTGATTGATAGTGTCAAAAAACTAAAAAAAAATGTTTGCGCTTTGCACGAAAAAAAATTTCTGACTCGGACAAAAAACCATAACCCAACCCCCCTTTGAGACTATCAAATGACTGCCATCTATACAATATAACTCAATTGACAAAATATATATAAGGACAACCAATGATGAGATGACGGTATGCATAAAGATTGATTGATTGTTGTTTGATTAACATCCAGTGGTTAATATTTCATGCATGTTCAGGATGGAAGAAGACCAAAAGTGATCATATTTCTATTCCTCAGTCAATTTTGAAGTTGTATGAGTAAAGATATGTATGGTGTAAACGTTTATGAGACACACGCTCAACAATGATGTTCACATGAACCAAAATTAGTCTTCTGGACCAGATTATTCATCTCTCGGTTAAATATAACTCTTGGTTAAACATAACCTGGGGTTAAATCTTTTAACTGAGGGGTTTACATAACCAAGGGTTAAAATTGTGCTGTTCAACTTCTTTTTAACCCTTGGTTATGTAATCCATGATTAAATTTTACAGTAAATGTTCATTTCTATCAAAATAAAGAATTATTAACACTGAATAACTGTTTAGTCAATAATCATGATTTCTTATTAAAAACAATACGCTTTTCAGCATCTTAGTTCATTTTAAAAATAGTACAACAACAAGTGGACGTGACAGAAAGCACCTTTTGTTTGAAAAGAAGTGTTGATAGTAGATTTGTATTTGATTATAGATAAATACATTATCTTACTAAAAGATGTTTAATTTTGCTGCATAGAAGATGACAAGGTAAAATAAAAATGTTGATTTGAAAATGTTGTATCAAATGTTTAGTGACCTTTCCAGTCTAGTTATCAACAGGGAATCGTACTTTTGGACAACACTATTCCTTTGTTGAAATTTTAACCGAGGTCGGAAGCTAGGCTGAATCTCAATCATTTAAACAAGGATTTAACAAAGGGTTAAATTTATCCACAGGATAAACAACAGAAAATAACCTAGGGTTAAATCTTAACCAAGGGTTTTGATATTTAACCGTTGGTTAAAATTTAACCAAGAGATGAACAACCGGGTCCTGGAGGTCAAAATGTTGTGTTATGATGAGCAGATGTGTAAGACATTATATCATTAAATGAATTTTGAATCAGATTTTTTTTTTTTTTATAAATATTGTTTTTTGAGATAATTTTCTGCAAAACACAAGTGAATATTGCAAGTGAATGTTTGCAATTTTTATTATATTATGGAATTCAAAGTTTTAATAAAAATGTTTAGGGTAAGCTGTATTTGAAAGAATGATTTACTGTATTTTACAGCCCAGTTCAAAATAAAGAAGCCTTTTTTGCAAAGATGATCAATGAACAAAGTCACACATACACCAGCTTTAGATTGATCTTGAGTGGAGAAAAAGATAAAAAAAAGATCCAGTGTTTAGTATGTATCAATTGAAATCTTTGAAAATGTCATCCCAAATTACAGAACTATAGAAATCAATACATGTATTATATAATAGATGGTCAGGACATTCAACTGAAATTCTATGGAAAGCTAAGGTGTCATAATTCCAACTTTGCAATTCTTAAATTGTATGTATGTAACTCGGTAATTTTGAGATTCCAACTTTGCAATTCTTAATTTGTTACAGTGCAATTCGACAATTGAAAATTGCAATTCGTAGTTTGCAACTGTGTAATTCAAAATTCTCATTTTGATTTTGCGTTATTTATTGCTACATGGTACATTTGTGATATGTACTTTCGTAATTTGTACATTTGTGATATGTACTTTTGTAATTTGTACATTTCTGATATGTACTTTCGTAATTTGTAATATGTCATGTCAATTGGCATCTTGCATTTATGTTATTTGAAAACTGTATACTTTAGGTGAATACTTGTAAATCAACATTAATTTTAGCTAATGTGAATAAACCAGCAACATTTGTATATTGATATTTTGTTTATTGATACTATGGTACATTTCTTATTATGATAACGTTCGCTGCTGGATAACTCTGCCTTAAACAAACTCGAACTATTAGAAGAATAAAAGTAAGATAGACGATGTTATTTACTCTATTTGATATTAATTATCAATTAAATAAGTAATATTATTTTTCTTTCACCAGAGTACAAAGAAAGAAATATAATGAAAAAAAACAAAACTTTTAAGACTTATTTACTTAAATATAATAAAATTACCACTTATTTTTTCTTTCTTTATCAATCTTTTCCATTATTCCTAATTTTCATTATAAAAATAATGCATATTTAAATGTTCATGACCTTTGATTCAAGGTGAATACTGCCACATGTACTGTTAGAAGTTGAATTATAAATTATATTAGTATATATATATGTAAGTGTATGTATTCTTCTTGTCATTTTTACATGGTGCTACTTTTTAACTGGATTTTCGAAGGAAAAATCGGTTATTGATTTGGGGATGTACGGCAGGCAGGCAGGCGGGCGGCTGCCAATCAGTGGCCTTTCATTTACATAAAAACGCTTTGACGAAATTTTTTAAAATTTAGATATGTTGTTTCCTGTGACTAAATAAAGGTCAAGTTCAATTTTCACAATTTTAGCTTTTCTCGTTGTTGAGTTATATCCCTTTCCAATAGTCAAAAGTGGTACTTATTATGTGATTGAGTTATTTCCCTTTGAACAGAAATGGTTAATTATATATATAAAGTTTGATTACACTTACAGATAAGTTTAATAGATTTTTAAAAGACATTGTATTAATGATAAATGACATTTTGGATATTTTTTTTTTTCTTTTCTTTGGTAAATTGTTTGAAGAATTTTGTGGTAGGTTAAAATTGTTTGTTATTCTGTATAAACTAATTTTCTTAAATGCTATATATATATTTTTTTTTTTTATGAAGTGAACTCCTTTAAAAACTACGTTTAAATTGTCTATTAATAAACATATATTTAGATTTCTGATTTTGGGCCCAGTTTTCAAGTTGGTCCAAATCGGGGTCCAAAATTAAACTATGTTTGATTTCAACATAAATTGAATATAATTAGGGTTCTTTGAAATGCTGAATATAAACCTGTATTTATTTTCATTATTAATTAGATAATACCACATTGAGGTCCAAAGGGTCCTAAATTAAAACTTTGTTTAATTTCATCAAAAATTGAATTCTTGGGGTTCTTTGATATGCTGATTCTAACAATGTTTTGGTGGTTAAATCATATGTAATTTTATTGATTATAATTCGAAAATAGATATAACATCATATCTTATTTTAGAGAACTGTTTCTTAGTGGTTAAATCATATCTAATTTTAGAGAACTATTTGTTTATCATTTATTCAGTTTGAGTTATTTCCCTTTGAACAGAAAACTAGTAAGTATATGGATAAAATTAAACTGAGTTTCATTTCAACATAGATTAAATATGTATAGTCTTTCAAATGCCGAATCTAAACCTGTATTTAAATATTGGATTTTTGGGCCCAGTTTTCAAGTTGGTCCAAATCAGGGTCCGAAATTAAACTTTGTCTGATTTCAACAAAAATTGAATTTATGGGGTTCTTTGAAATGCTGAATCTAACCATGTATTTAGAGAATTTGGATTTTGGGCTCCTTTATCAAATTGGTCCACATTGAACTCCAAAGGGTCCTAAATTAAACTTTTGTTTGATTTCATCAAAAATTGAATTATTGGGGTTCTTTGATATGTTGATTCTAACAATGTACTTAGATTTTGGATATTGGATATTGGACCATAATAGGTAAATGCCCAATTTCAAATTTTTCAGTTCTTTGACCACATTCATTTTGTGTCACAAACCTATGCTGTGTCAAATATTCAATCACAATCCAAATTCAATGCTGTTTTAAGCTTAAATGTGTGTGTGTTGGATGGGTGGTGTTCTCTGGACACACATTTGTTCGATTTAATTTAAAAAGTTATTTTTCAATAACATACAGGAACAAAAAGGTTTGATTTAAACGCAATGTCGTACTTATCTTTTCCTAATTTTCAATAGAAACCAACCATTTATTTAAAAAAAACATGCCCCCCTCCACACACACACAAACGATGAACGATACATGTATCATAAAAGATATCATCCTTCATAAATGTTATTGTATTTTTTATTACACTTACTAAATATTATAAAACATACAAATGTATGTATATGTTTCTTGTTTCAATTGCCAAATAAGGAATAGGAGCACTACCTTATAAACTAGAGTAGAAAAAAAGGGGTGCTTAGATATAAAATTATTATAGAGAAATATGGTTTACAAATCAAAGAATAAAATCACAAAAATGAAGCCCAAGCCCCCCTCCCCCCAAAAAATAAAGCCGCCAACCAAACCCTCCGTGTTCATGTTCAGATAATTTAACTGAACAACTAAAAAAAATGGCCATGGTGCCCCACCCATCCCCGGCTCCTGCATCCACCACTGCACCTTTTAAATCACTTTTAATCCAATTACTGGCATGTGTACAGTTGACACCTTTTCAATCACCATTAAAACATGGGAGTGAAATGAAATATATATAATATATAAACTAAGTGCGGTGGAGGACATTATATTTTTATATTTTACAACAAAACTGACATATCAGCACGACCCCCCTTGCATAATTTATATAAGGCACAGAAAAATAAAGAAATATATGCGGCTCCACAGCAATTTATTGAGGATCTGTTTTCCCAAAAGAGTTTAAAGTAAGCAAAGTTTCCTAAAAGTCAAGCACTATGAGTTTAATAGTTTCCAACGGACATTTTGAAAATTGCGATAATTTCTAACACTAGGGGAGTGTTTAATGAGATGAGGGTCTCAAATGGTTGGTCATTTCTAACACAGCATTTTAGAATAGAATATTATATAATAGATAAGGAGATGTGATATGATCTCAAATGAGACAACTATCCACCACAGCTAAGCCTAAATGAAGTGGATGTAAGCAATTATTGTCAACCGTACGGCCTTCAACAATGGGGAAAACCCATACCGTATGGTTGGCTATAAAAGGCCCTGACATGAAAAATATGAAACAATTCAATTGAAAAAACTAACGGCCTAATTTATAACAAAACAATTCATGAAAAACATTTATGACAGACATGAACCAACGACAACCTCTGAACTACAGGCTCCTGACTTTGGACAGGCACATATAGAGTTCTTTGTACTCTGGTGAAAGATAAAATTTCATTGATAATTAGTTTCAAATAGAGTGAATAACATCGTCTATCTGACTTGTATTCTTTTTATAGGCTGAGTTATCCAGCAGCAAAAGTTTGACAGCGACCCCATCTGTTATCATAATAAGAAATGTACCTTAATATTGATATACAAATGTTGCAGGTTTATTCATGTCAGCTAAATGTCGATTTACAAGTATTCATTTGAAGAATACAGTTTTTAAATAACATAAATGCAAGACGCCAATTGACATATTACAAATTTCGAATTACAAAAAATAAAATATAACAAAAATGCCGAACTCCAAGGAAAATTCAAATTAGAAAGTCCCTTATCAAATGGCAAAATCAAAAGCTCAAACACATCAAACGAATGGAAAACAACTGTCATATTCCTGACTTGGTACAGGCATTTCCTCATGTAGAAAATGGTGAATTAAACCTGGTTTTATAGCTAGCTAAACCTCTCACTTATATAAATATACATCTCACAAATATACAAATTATGAAAGTACATATCACCAATGTACAAATTACGAAATTAAAGTACATATCATAAATGATGGAAAATAAAAATTAGAATCTTGAATTACATAAGTGCATAGTTGGAATTGTAATTTTGAAACATTCAATTGTCGAATTGCACTGTTACAAATACAAAATTGCAAAGTTGGAATTTCAAAATTACCCAACTACATACATACAATTTAAGAATTGCAAAGTTGGAATTATGACACCTTTGGCTTTCCATAAAATTCACCTATCAAATGTGAAAGGCAGATTAAAAGAGAGAGGCGAAATATACCAAAGGGACGTTCAAACTCATAAGTTGAAAAAAAAAACTTGACAATGCCATGGCTAAAAAGGAAAAAAACCAACAGACAAACAACAGTACACAAAACACAACATAGAAAACTAAAGACTGAACCACACGAACCCCACCAAAAACTGGGGGTGATCTGAGGTGCTCTGGAAGGGTAAGCAGATCCTGCTCCGCTTGTTGCACCCGTCATTTTTGTCATGTAAGTACAAACCCGATGATAAGTCTTAATTCAGTAGGTCACATTTGGGGAAAAGGGGACAGGCTTTTAGTTACATTGATTGGAACATATCCGTCGTCATCTGTGAAACAGATATTCCAAATGGTCAACCAAATTTTTTAAGGGAATTCAGAGGCAGATTAAGGGGGCAGGAGGCTTCATATATGATAAATGCTTAAACTTTTTACAAGTAAAACTCCAAACTTTGACTTGCATTGCCTTCTCCAATG